GGGCAGCGCGCGCCTCCTCCTGGCGGCCCGCACGGCTGGCGTCGCGTCTGCCCGGCACCTTCGGAGCGCCGAGTAACTTTCTGTTGCGGACTAACGTCCGGGTCCCGTGCTTAACCGCCCTTTGCAAGGAAAAAGGAACGAGGACGCCCGTGCCCCTTCCCAGGCGCCGCTGCGTTTTGCGCAACCACGGGAGAGCGCTTCCTCCCCGCGCGACGCCTTCGCCGCCCGGGCCGACTCTGCTGGGCTGCAGTCGTCCTTGCGCCGGCCACCCTGAAAAATAAAGTTCCGCTTTCTCCAAGCGAAATATCCTCGAAAACTGACAACCTCGGCTTGAACTTCCCCTGAAATTGCATACCCCGGTGCTGTTGAAGGGACCTAGGTGACACGTGGCTCGTGAGATGACTATGGAGTTACATTGACAGACTCGGTTATTTGGGGATGATTGCCCTGTTTTCTTCACCTGCTTTATTCTAATCATCAGGTGTGTATTTTAATGAGCAACTGTTTGGGGGGAGCATATGTTCAATTTATCCACTATCAGATAATGATCTACAGCAATCGCCTTCATGTTAACAGGCACGAGTGTTTTCCCATCATCCGCTGTCTTGTCCAGATGTGCACACCTGTGGTAGCACTGCGTTTTTTGTTTTTTTTTGGTGTGTGTGTGTGTGTGTGTGTGTGTGTGTGTGTGTGTGTGTCTTTTTGAGACAGGATCTCGCTATGCAGTTCAGGTTGGCCTTGAGCTCACTTTGTAGCCCAGGCTGGTCTCGAACTCACAACGATCCTCCTACCTCAGCCTCCCGAGTGCTGAGGAGCACTGCGATTTCTGTGGCGCTTATTCACTCTCGCACATGCCCCATTCTTATAATCGTTACTCAGTAGAGGAAATCCCCTGAACATGCTACAGCAATTATGAGAAGAGTAGTGTTTGAGTCAGTGGTTGGATTATTCAACTGATAGCATTCTAGGAACTGATTAGCTGACCTGGATTGGACAGAGAGAACTGGAACCGTATCTCACACTTCATTTTCTAAATGAAATCCCAAAGTAACACAGCCATAAGGGAGCTAGAAAAACTATTCGGGTTTGTTAAAAACTTGATCTCAGAATGGGAGGAACGGAGGCTGGGGATTTAGCTCAGCAGCACAGCGCCTGCCTGGCGAGCGCAAGGTTGTGAGTTCGATTCCCGGTACTGGGAAAAACAAACAAACAAACAAACAAACAAACAAAACAAAACAAAACAAGACAAAAAGAATGGGAGGAACGTCCTAAGCAAAAAGGGAAGGAAGGCCAAAGCAGTGGTGCACCTCTGTAATCCCAACTGTTCTGGAAACTGAGGCAGAAGGATCGCAAATTTGAGGCCAGCCTGAGCAAGTTAGAAAGATCTGTCTCAAAATAAAAACGTCTAGAGAGTTATCTTAATGGTAGAATGCCAGTGTTTCAATTCCCAGTACCTAAAAACAAG